AGAAACATTATTAGAACTTAAATCTCTTCTAAAGACCCACACAGTTATAGTGGGAGATTTCAACACACCACTCTCACCACCAGACAGGAATACCAGACAGAAACTCAACAAAGAAGCAAAGGGTCTAATAGAAGTAATGACCCAACTGGGATTAACAGATATCTATAGAACATTTCATCCACATAAAAAAGAATATACCTTCTTCTCACCACCACATGGAACCTTCTCAAAAATCGACCACATACTTGGCAACATATCAAACCTCAGCAGCTACAAAAAATTGGAATAACTCCATGCATCTTATCAGACCACCATGCTTTAAAATTAGAATTCAACAACAACACAAATTGCATTAAACCTACAAACTCATGGAAATTGAATAATGCTCAACTGCACCATCCCTGGGTCAAAGAGGAAATAAAAAAAGAAATTAAAGACTTCCTTGAATTCAATGAGAATGAAGACACAACATACCCAAACCTATGGGACACTTTGAAAGCAGTGCTACGGGGGGAAGTTCATAGCACTAAGCGCTCACATGAAGAAACAGGAGAACAGTTATACCAGAGAATTAACATCACAGCTGAAAGTTCTAGAACACAAAGAAGCAAACTCCCCCAGGAGGAGTAGATGCCAGGAAATAATCAAATTGAGGGCTGAAATCAATAAAGTAGAAACCAGGAAAACAATACAAAGAATCAATGCAACGAAGAGTTGGTTCTTTGAGAAAATCAACAAGATAGACAAACCTTTGTCCAAACTTACCAAACAGCAGAGAGTGAACACGCAAATTAACAAAATCAGAAATGAAAAGGGGGACATAACAACAGACTCTGAGGAAATCCATAGAATCATTAGGTCATACTTTGAAAACCTGTACTCCACAAAATTCGAAAATATAAAGGAAATGGATGACTTCTTGGATAGCTATCACTTGCCAAAACTAAATCAAGAACAGATAAGCAATTTAAATAGACCTATAACCCCTATGGAAATAGAAGTTGTCATCAAAAGTCTCCCAACCAAAAAAAGTCCAGGTCCAGATGGCCTCAGTGCAGAATTCTACCAGAAATTCAAAGAACAGCTTATACCAATTCTTCTCAAAGTGTTCCACACAATAGAAGCAGAAGGGTCTTTGCCAAACTCTTTCTATGAGGCTTCAATAACCTTGATCCCCAAGCCACACAAAGATACAACTAAGAAAGAGAACTTCAGACCAATATCCCTCATGTACATTGATGCAAAAATACTCAATAAAATGCTGGCAAATCAATTTCAAGAACACATCAAAACAATCATTCACCACGATCAAGTAGGTTTCATCCCACGGATGCAGGGATGGTTCAACATACGAAAATCCATCAACGTAATCCACCATATAAACAAGCTGAAAAACAAAAATCACATGATCATCTCACTAGATGCTGAAAAAGCCTTTGACAAAATCCAACACCCCTTCATGATAAAGGTCTTGGAGAGATCTGAGATAACAGGGACATACTTAAACATAATAAAAGCTATATACAGTAAACCAACAGCCAACATCAAACTAAATGGACAGAAACTCAATGCAATTCCTCTAAAATCAGGAACAAAACAAGGCTGTCCACTCTCTCCATACCTTTTCAACATGGTACTTGAAGTTCTAGCTATTGCCATACGACAACAAAGGGGGATCAAGGGGATACAAATTGGGAAGGAAGAGGTCAAACTTTCACTGTGTGCAGAGGATATGATAGTTTACATCAATGACCCAAAGAACTCTACCAGGGAACTCTTACAGCTGATTAACACCTTCAGCAAAGTGGCAGGCTACAAGATCAACTCAAGAAAATCAGTAGCCCTACTATATACAGATGATAAAAGGGCTGAAAGAGAAATCAGAGAAACATCATCCTTTACAATTGCCACAAACAACATAAAATACCTTGGGGTAATGCTAACCAAACAAGTGAAAGACCTGTATCGTAAGAACTTTGAATCTTTAAAGAAAGAAATTAAAGAAGCCCTCAGAAAATGGAAAGATATCCCGTGCTCTTGGATAGGTAGGATCAATGTAGTAAAAATGGCAATCCTGCCAAAAGCAATCTACAGATTCAATGCAATCCCCATTAAAATCCCAGCACAATTCTTCACAGACCTTGAAAGAACAATAATCAATTTTGTATGGAAAAACAAAAGACCCAGGATAGCCAAAACAACCCTGTTCAACAAGGCAACATCCGGAGGCATCACCATCCCTGACCTCAAGCCCTATTATAGAGCTACAGTCCTGAAAACAGCTTGGTATTGGCACAAAAATAGACAGGTAGACCAATGGAATCAAATTGAAAACCCGGATATTAACCCACACACATACGAACATGTGATCTTTGACAAAGAAGCTAAAAATATACAATGGAATAAAGAAAGCATCTTCAACAAATGGTGCTGGCATAACTGGGGGCTGGCATGTAGAAGAATGCAGATCGATCCATGTTTATCACCATGCACAAAACTTAAGTCCAAATGGATCAAAGACCTCAACATAAATCCAGCCACACTGAACCTTTTAGAAGAGAAAGTGAGTGGTAACCTAGAATGAATTGGTACAGAAGACAGCTTCCTGAACATAACACCAGTAGCACAGACAGGGAGATCAACAATTAATAAACGGGACCTCCTGAAACTGAGAAGCTTCTGTAAGGCAAAGGACACAGTCAGCAAGACAAAAAGGCAGCCCACAGAATGGGAAAAAATATTCACTAATCCCACATCTGACAGAGGGTTGATCTCCAAAATTTACAAAGAACTCAAGAAGGAAGTCTCCAAAACAGCAAAGGACCCAATTAAAAAGTGGGCTGCAGAACTAAATAGACAGTTTTCAATAGAGGAGTCTAAAATGGCTGAGAGGCACTTGAGAAAGTGCTCAACATCCTTAGCCATCCGGGAAATGCAAATCAAAACAACTCTGAGATACCATCTCACTCCTGTCAGAATGGCTAAAATCAAAAATACCAAAGACAATTTATGCTGGAGAGGATGTGGTGAATGGAGGACACAACTCCATTGCTGGTGGGAGTGCTAACTGGTTCAGCCACTTTAGAAATCAGTATGGAGATTCCTCAGAAAAATGGGAATAAACCTACCACAAGACCCAGCAACTCCATTCTTAGGCATCTATCCAAAAGATACCCATTCATACAACAAAGATATCTATTCCAATCTGTTCATAGCAGCATTATTTGCAATAGCCAGAACTTGGAAGCAACCTAGATGGCCCTCAACTGAAGAGTGGATAGAGAAAATGTGGTACATTTACACAATGGAGTACTATTCAGCAGATAAAAACAATGGAATCCTGAGATTCGCAGGCAAATGGATGACACTAGAAGAAACCATCCTGAGTGAGGTAACCCAGTCACAAAAAGAGAAACATGGCATGTACTCTCTCATATATGGATTTTAGACATAGATCTGGGGAGTGCCAGCCTACAATCCCATGGCCAGAGAGTCTGGGAAACAGAAACTTCATTTAGTGGCTGATTGAAGAAGAGGCAGACTCCCTCGGTTAAGTACTGAGCTGAACTCAAGAAAGCCAGTAACAGAGAGGGAGGACTGATGACCAAAAGGATTAAGACTGGGCTGGTTTAACCCCCAGAAACAGCTGACCTGACAAAGGTTAACTCTTGTATCCCAGGCATCAGACTGGGAATCCAGCATGGGACTGATCAAGACCCCCTGAATGTGAGTGTCAGTGAGGAGGCCTAGGTAATCTATTGAGCCTTGGGCAGCAGATCAGTACCCATCCCAAGTAAACACACAGAATTTGGACTCCCATAGAACAATGTGAGGTGCACTCTCACCCTGAACTCTTGGGGAAGGGTCTAGGCCCTGCCTATATGAAATGACAGACTATGGACAAGCCAATGGAAGGCCTCACCCTGCCTGGGGAAATGAGGGGATAATGGGGGCTTGGGGGAAAGCACAGGAGGAGGGGAGGGAAAAGGAGAGGGACCTGGAACTGACTTGTGAAGCAACCTTGTTTCTAATCTAAATTTAAACTTAAAAGTAAAAAAAAAAAAAAAAACCAAATGCCTGTCCCTGGGTTTTGTTGTGTTTTACAGCTCACTGCAATGATGGCAGGCATGCAATTAAAGAAAATAAAAACACTCGGTAAATCTGTGAAAGCATGTGACTGTGCATATGCATATATATATATATGTATATATAATATTCTTACATATATTTCTTCAGTAAGGAGAAACAGGATTTCTAGCACAATTGATCATGACATTACCAGGGTGGGTAACATATAAGATGGCTCTAGAGTATCTTATAATGACAATAACATGATTGTTTTTATTTTTACTTATAAAGTGGAGTATAGACATAGCACTGGCTCCACTTGTCCGAAGCTGATTATTTCATGACGGTCCATAGAGACACTTGTCTATCCTTGTGTATTCTCGTATAACCTTGTATACCAACAGATGTATCATATCCTAATAAACACTTTCTTAGTTTATATCCCTGCTAATATGGCAAAAGGCAAACAAAAACAAATGAAATAAAGGTTTATTTGGGTCACAGTTCAAGGTATAGTCCTTGGGCATGCAAGTCAAGCAACTGGGACTTGAAACATCTGGTCACTTTGCATCCACAAGTCTAGAAATAGAGAGAAAAATGCTCACATATTGCCACACAGTGTCCTTTCCAATTTCTACAGTTCAGAAGCCCTGCTCAGGATGGAGTCCTGCCCACAATTAAGATGGGTTGTTGCACATCAATTGATGTAATTGAGGTAATCTCTTTCAATCATGCCCAGGGACCCATCTCCCAGGTGATTCTAGATTGTGTCAGAGTAACAATTAGCATTGACTATCACAGATACTCTCTGAGCAATGGACTTGTTAATTATTTTGCTTTTTAGATACCAATAGTTATAAAAATGTATTTGTGCCTCAAAAATTTGTAATTTACCTAACATATTTTTAGATACAGAAAACTAAAGACAGTGGTTAGGGTTAATGAGCAAATGTTAAATTTTATTAGTTTTACTCAAACAATAGTTTCTCACCTAGACTATATCAAAGGTTCCAAATTTATTTTCTATATCCAAACCTCATTACATAACATTACCACATGGACATAAATATTTTTAATGTAAATCAAACATCATGCTTACTAGTTGCTTGCAACCTCAACATACTTCCCCATCTATTAGACACAGGCAAAACTACTGAGAAACGCAGTTCACAACCACCTGGTTCGTTGCTTTCTGGCCTCACTTCCGGCACTTTTCTTTAAACAGCTTGAATTATCAGTGTCCAGAAAGACTTATGATCATTCATGTTCAACATCTGAGTAATCTCTACCTGATAGTCTTTTCAAATCCATACAAAATCAAATTATCTTGCTCTGGGAACTTTTTCTGGACCACCTTCAAATCATGAATTGTTCACTCGTCATGTTCAGGATCTCTCTTTTAAAGCCTTGGTCACATTTTTGCAGGCACACTTTAATGGCAAACATTGCCTACTCTGTGACATAACTTGGTAAATTTTAAATATATCTTGTCAGAACTGAAAAAAAACAGGAAACATGTCAATGCTACCATATTCATAAAGTTGGAAACCTTACATCTGAAACCCAGCAACCCTTACTACTCCACAAGTCTGTGGGAGATCACACTACTTTTCTACTTTTTTCTGAAAACTGTAGATCCCCTTTTCTTTTCAGCTTCCTGATACTGTGTTGCAACATAAACTTATTGATTCCAAAGGTTTTGACAGAGACAGCAGTTTCTTACAGCAAAAACCTAATAATTGATATAATGCTGTTTAAAGTGTTCTATAGATCAAGTGCTACAAGTAAGGCTTTAGCTCAGTGCTTGGACCTAGCAAGGACTCTTAAACATTACAGATCCTCAAGTGACAACAGAGACTGTGTTGTTCATTTAGATGCCCTGTATGTAAGTACTGTATGCATGCAATACAGTTATATCAGGAGGAGAGTTTAGAGATGCAAAGTAAAATGGATGTGCTAATTAGCTGAAAATAGAAATAGAAAGCATTACTATGAGAAGAATGTAGCTATGCCATCTACAGACACACCAGGCCATGGGTAATAGTGCTATCAGAATTAAAACCTCACCTATATATCCAGATCAGCGTTGCTGTTCAAAACTTGTAGGAGCTCCACTTTTTTTTTCAATTTTGAGAGTAAAAGTCAATAATCACCTCAACCCATCAGCAGGGATCCAAAGTTACCCAAATAGAAGATGAGTTGAACCATTCTGTATGTTTTAAAATTTTAATGTGATTTCAACCCAATGTGAATTTTATGTGGCTTATTTTACTACCTCTTATAACAGAAACAGAATGTTAGTATTTGAAGCCTTAGTTTTCACATAGACAGAAAAGATTAAAAAAAATGTTTCAAGTCCTTCTTGATGTGCAAGACAAAAGCCTCATAAACCAAATGACAATGTATGATTTGTGTAATCCAATTACTCACATTTTGGTTGTTTTTGTCATAACAATCTGTGCTGAGATGTAACAGGAATGTGGGTGAAAAACAACAACAATGAAAAATATGTTATTTTAAAAGCAAAACTATGAATTTAGGAAACAGAAGAACAATCTGGAATTTTAACAAAGGTCTAAAACATCATCTGTAAACTACAAAAACAGGTCATGAAATAAATGTGTAGCAGAAATGTCTGTACTCCGTGTGAATATTCAGGAACCCTATTCCTGAATGGTTTGGCAATTCAATTTCTAGTTGCTTGAGCAATATCCATTCAGTTTACTACAATAGCCATAGTGATTCACATGCCACCAATAATATTCAAGGTTCTCTTTTGGCTATATCCATTTCAGTTCAAAACCACCAAAAGCAAATTTCAAATGTTCTCAGAACAAAGCAAATGATAAATACTACGATGGTGAATACATAATTTAGCCATTAATATCCCAGATTACATTAATGAATCATAGCACCACTTTGAACCACATAAACACATGCACCTACATTCTATTCATTTTTAATGAAATGAAAACGGGGGGAGGACAGCCTGAAGGGATAAAGAATGGTACACCTCAAGAAAGTTGTTACCAGGTAGTTCTTGCTGCAGTATTGCATCAGACACACTCAGGGACTGGCTTTATTCTTTTGAAAATGTGGTGAGAGGCAATATCTTGTTATCACATGCATATATATGTGTGCTCATGTGACAATATGAATGAATATACATTATTCATTCTAAATAAAACCTGTTCAGTCCATGTTATGTTACTTGTCTGTATATTTTCAGAGCTATCCGTTTGCCATTGGACAACCAATTGGTGCGCTCTTCCCTGGGGAGGACCACTTCTCCCATTCCCAGCTTTCCTCAGCTGCCTCTGGTTCTTCGTGTAGAGTTGAAACCTCCCGGGCTTTTTTCCTGGCCTTTAATGAACGATATTAAAGACTCGGTTTATTGTCATTTAGCATTGGGGCACGTTATTTTGTATTGAGAGTTATGTAAAAACAGACAGTACATTAGACAGCTATCCTCCATGGGGTCTCCAGCCACTGCAGCCACAGAGGTATCCTATGGATATGTCCCAGCTTCTTCCTATGACATGGCACCAGTGAAATGACAGTTTGAAAGGTGACTCTGTGGGGAAAGTGAAGACATTCCTAAAACCCTAGGTTAATTCCTTTGCATTTTCTCCTACACACTCAGACTAATTGATGACATCATTTGCAAAAGGCATGTCTTCTTGGTGGTGACATGGTGCAGGGTGAGCTTTCTGAATCCCCAGGAATGAGATGTGTATGAAGAACACACACACACACACACACACACACCTTGCAGAAAGTATTTTTTGAGTGAATCACTGAACAGAAAGGAACGCAGCTTTTAAGCAGGTTTCTTAGTTTACACTTAACTTCTCAAAGTTAATTCCTAATTCTGTCCAGTATCCTTTAAAGAACATGTTAGAAGCCTCTCAGTTTTCATCTGACTTCATTCTGTTTCTTACCGATAAACACTTTCTGCATTAAATGCTCTCTCTCTCTCTTTCTTTCTCTCTCTCTCTCTCTCTCTCTCTCTCTCTCTCTCTCTCTCTCTCTCTCTCTCTCTCTCCCCTCTCTCTCTCACACACACACACACACACGCACGCACGCACACACACACACACACACCCATACACACACTCACACACTTCCCTTTCCTAGCACTGTAAACTTCACTGACTCTCTTCATCACCCTTACCTCCTCCAGTTTTTCCCTCCTGGACCTCATCCTCTTTACCCCGGTCTGCCCTGTGTCCTTCTTCCCTCCTTTCCTTCGCTGAGCACCTTCACCGCATTCATTCCCATCAAGGGCTTTGCAGATTCCTGGGCTGTTTGCTGGTGAGAAATCTTTGCTGCAGCTGCAGCAAGGACTAGAGTCCCCTGCGCGAGCGCGCAGGCCAATGGCAGAAAAGGGCTAGGCTAGGCTAGGCTGGGAGGAAAGGGCTGGGAGCTGGGAGGCAGTCTGTCCTCCCGCGAGCCTGCAAGGATGCGGCAAGGGACTGAGACCATGGGGAGGTGCTAACTTCCTATCCAACCCCCCAGCCGGGGATCCGGGCTGGCATTCCCGGCCCCCCGGGCTAGTTTCCTGCCAAGCGCATCCAAGAAGCCAAAGCTTTGGAAGGCATAAAAAGAAAAAAAAGAGGGGTGCTGGAAAAGGGTGCTGATCATCAGAGCTGGTCCCTCCGCAAACCCAGGAAGAAAGGAGGAAGGGGTCAGAGATTGGAGAGGTGACGTGAAAACCCCAGTCTGCAGACTGGCTCAGGAGCCTCCCTGGAGACCTGGGCGCTCTGGTGAGCACCCGCTAGGGGAAAGGGGCGTGCGAGGGGCGATGGGCGAGGGGAGGGGGAGATAGGGGAGAGTGGCCAAAGACCGGAGACCGGAGACCAGAGAGGGGCCCGCGGCGGTGGTGCGCACTCCGGTATTGGTACTGAGGCGCGGGGCTAGGTGCTAGGGACTCTGGGATGCTGCGGCCCGGGCAGGGGCCGTGTGCGAGCTGAGGAGCGCGTGTGGCGCCCGCTTCAGTGTGTATGTGAGCAGGCGAGCGCAAGTGAGCCACAGACAGAGCGCATGTCTCATCCCTGCGAGCAGAGCAGCAGCTAGACCCGCCACCACCATCTTCTGCATGAACATTATCAGCAGGACAGAAAACCTCCCCCAGGGCTATGGAGACTGCGGGAAACATCTGGCAGCTGGCGATGGATTGCTGAGGGGAAGCAATCATAATCCCAAACGCCCAAACCTCTCTCTTTTTTTTCTTTCCTTTTTTTCTTTTTCTTCTTTCTTTTTTTATTATTATTTTTTTAATTTTAGCGCCATCGTCTTCAATGACTCTCTGAAGAACCTTTAGCGAGAGTGTGAGAGAAAGAGGGGAGCGCGCACCAGGGAGAGTAGCAAAGAAGATGAGGAGTATTTGCAGTCAGATTGTCTTGTTGTTTTCTGGATTTTGGGGACTCGCCATGGGAGCCTTTCCAAGCAGCGTCCAAATAGGTAAGTAGATGGTAAGGGAAGAGATTCATGTGTCTGAAGTGAGTGACTTAAATGAGTTGCTGATAAGCAATCTAGGGAATCCTACAGAGCTGCCTTCCCTTTACAGTCAGACCTTCTGGGTGCAAGTTCAGATAGTAGACACAGGCTAGCACGCCGGCCCTGAGCCTATCCCCATCTAGCCTGCCAATGGGTTATATTAGCATTGGAAGAAGTTGAAGATAAGAGAAAATAAAAAATAAACCTCCATAGCCTTTGGTTGCATTTCATAGCACATTTCTTTCAACGCTTTTCGTGAGAACAAGAGGGAATATCTAATTTTATTTTATTTTTGTTTGTTTTTTTTTAACCCACTTCTTGCTGTTCTGCAAGCTGCAGGATTCTCGCTATTATAGAAAGACACAGGGGTGGGGGGAGCATTCTCTGTCCACACCTCTTGCCTTGTCTTGCTATCAGATGACAGATAGAAAGTTAAACCCTTTCCTAGGAACCTTGGCTGGGTTTATTCTGCTTTTCACTTATGCTTTTGCTCGTCTATATTCTTGGGCAGCCCACTCTGTCTCTAGCGACCCTCCCTCCGTTGTGTTTGTCATTCTCCCCTTCAGTCTGTCGTATGGACTCAGCTATTGAATTTCTTCCAGCGCAGCCCAGCCTCAAACACTGCATCGGTTTTTTTTTTCTTTTTTTCTTTTTTTTAATGTGTGTACTGTGCACAAAACCGAACAGATTGGGTTGGATACACACACACAAGCATGGGGGCAAACTAAGTTCTCTCCCTTCTAAATCTGTTCTCCTGTGCCTCCACATTCCCCCATTCCTGTCCTGTGTTTTGATGGAAATCTGTTTTCGATTTATCTGCATCCTCACTGGTAGAGAGCAGTGTCCTGAACTGGCCGCCTGAAGAGGGCAAGGGGAATAAAGCAAGATGCACTAAATGGTCTCAGAGGTCATTGTGGTCGTGACTGAAGCAAGAAAGAGCTGAGCTGCCCTGAAGACTAAAACACTAAGCATGCAGTGCAGGGACAAAAGCGACCCCTGTGATGACAACAGAGCTCCTTAATTGTGTGAGCTTGCTGTTGGAGATGTGTGGCTGTCCTGGGGCCCGGGAGTAACATCTAAAACAGGAAGCACTGTATGAAGCTACTGTCTTTCACAGGTGGTCTCTTCATCAGAAACACAGACCAGGAATACACTGCTTTCAGATTGGCAATCTTTCTTCATAACACCAGCCCCAACGCCTCCGAAGCCCCTTTCAATCTGGTACCTCATGTGGACAACATTGAGACAGCCAACAGTTTTGCTGTGACAAATGCCTGTAAGTAAAATAAGTTACAGCCAAATTGGAGGATAACTGAAATGAGGGAGCCGGATTCCTTTCTTTGTTCATAATTTTCTAGGGGAAAAAAATATCCAGATTCCAACAGTTGCCTGATGGCAGAGAAAAGTCACAGTTTGAAATTGTTTAGTCTTTGGGATTTTCTGCTGATGTCTTTCACCTTTCCTCCCTCTCTCTCCTCCCTCCCTTGTGTCATTCCCCCTTTCTGCCTTAAAAAAAATTCCCTGCTGAATTCTCTCATAACATTGTAGTATTGTTTCAGTCTCCTGAATGCCAGTGAAAACTGTATTTACTCTACCGTTTTATGCCATCCTTTTGGTTTGTGCTTCTGGAGTTTCATTGGAGTAAGCTCCTGTCTTAATTTTAAAGAAGTCACAAGCCTTCCCGGTGCTAAAAGCCATTGTGAGGAGGCCAGGGGAGTGGCGGTGTGCAGAATATACATTGAAGTTGGCTGGCAGACATGGCATAAGATCCAGTGATGTCATTTGAGGCTGTTCTGCCTTATATTTTAGTTTGTAACTGTCTCTTGCTGTCTTAATGGATCTAGCTTATCCATGAAACTCCACGAAGCATTGCCCTGTTACCAGTTACTTTAGTCTCTCACCTACCAGGACTCTAAAACACACCCAGTTGGATCTCCACACAATCAAACAACATGAGTGACCTCACAAAATACTAAAGGGGATCAGTTGTACAGAAGTCCCCCATTAAGATCCTATGTAACCTGATGTGGAAAAAGAAGCCCCCTGATTGTGTTAATGTCCAACACAACGATGTGACCATCAGTGGCACTGGGCTGCCTTTTAGTTCAGTTCATAATGTATGGCTGTATTCCAGATGCCCCTCAGTTTCCTTTGCGTATCCACTGCCATTTAAAACAATGTTTCTGAATTATCTGAGACATGAGAAAGTGATTTGTACATACATGGTGAGTGCTTTGTTTCTGTTGCACCATGTTAATTAAAAATTGTGAGGACAAAGAAAAACAGAAAACAGTGTTTTAAGTGACAGAAGATGTTTATTTCATGCTTGTCTTCATATTTATTTGTCATTAATTCACTTACCAGATAACAGGATGATTATTTTGGACATCTCTTTACTGCTATGTTTTGAGCTTAATCTCTTAAAGGTGCTAAAGCTTTTGACAGCTCTACAAAATATTGTGGTTATATTTTTTGTCATAATTCCTGTGTTTACAACTACTTAGTGTTTTGTTTTACTTGGTGATGAGATTAACATTGCTTTACTTGGTGGTGAAATTAATATTGTTTTATTTGGTGATGAAACTGATACTGTTTTATTTGGTGATGAAATTAACATTAATACAAAACAGTTTATTTTAAGCCAAAGTGCATATAAATTACAGCTAGGTTTGTGTATAGTCATTTATAAATTTTATGAGTTATTTTCTTCAAATGACAAGTATTAAATAAGATATCAACATTTCACACAATTCTGCTCAAAGTATACTCATGAAGGAGTGATGGCTACTTCTTTTTTTATTTTACACTTGTATCTCTTATAAGTCTATCAGGACCTGTGTTACTAGCTTGGAAACTAATTGATTATCCTAATGTATCATACATAGTGAGGGAACTTTGTCCATGGCTAATTACATTTGAACACTATCATTTCATCTTGAATGAGTTTCCTAAATGTAGTAGTACATGGATTTTTGTTTTTGAAAATTAAGGTCTTACAAATTAGAATGGTGGCACGATGACACTCAGCTTTGTAAACTGTCAATGCCCAGTCCTGACTTCCTCCATCTCATCAGCTAACCTCTTTTAGCATCAGTTTAGCTAGGAATGTTTTAGTTACGTAACAAAACATGCATGAGCTTAAGTGGTAGTGGTAAAGCACTGATCAAACTGAGATGGTGGCAGCTGGCTACACAGATAATAAAAGTATCTACACACATGAAATTTAGGGGATGCTCATCGTTATTAATGTGCAACTAAAACAAGTAACCTTAGATGTAGCCAAGTGCCATACAATAATGGCAAGTGAGTGTGCTCACATTCATATATAACCGGTTCTGTGTAGATGACTAAAAATGCTTTTAAAAGAAAATCATAAATAAGAAAAAATGGTTTTTAGTGAAGAAAAGTTTCTTCTTTTTGACTGTAAATGTCTATGCCAAACCCCTTAAGATAAATGCAAGTTACATTTGAGAAAAAAACTCTAATCACAAGTAACTATAAGTTAATCTCATCTATCAAACTTTGTGCCTTTAGGTGCAAAAGGGTAAGGAATTATGGTCTTGAAATTTCATATTTTGGAAAATTAACATGGGAATTTATTCTTTGCAGTGACACACTGGATTTTCCAATTTGTTATCTTGGAATGAATATAAATAATATTATTACACTTAATTTATTTTCATAATAATTTCCCACACTGAATCTATTTAAACTTCCACTCTGTACAAATAAAGAACATTAACCAGAGTTCATTTAATTACTTTTATGGGAACTATATTCATGCAAAAACACACAAGAATAAAGTATGTTGATTACCTGTTTAAAAAGCATAACCTAATGCTGATTATTAGGACTAAAATTAAGCAGTCCTCTAAAAAGTTTGTGTATTATTAAACCACTCTGTAGAGTTTACTAGCTTGTAAAATTGGGCGTGATTAATCTAAAAAAGAGCAATTTAGGCAGTATCAATACCATCTTGCTGGAGGAATCAATAATTTAGGCTTCTAAGTTTATTGTTAACAATATTTTACCCTTAGCAGTATTTGTATATCTTTAAATTAAAATGCTGTTTTTCTTTCTTAGTTATTCATATTAATAGAAAGTCAGCCTTCACGGGATATTAAAAGGAAATTAGAAGAAGTACAGATAATAAAAATTATGTCCATTTTCAATAACAAAATGCATGTGTAATTAGTGACCATTTTACATAAACATCAGTGCCATTGGCTGTTTATATTTCATTATTTTGACCTATATTAACTACACAAGCTGCTGGAAACTTGTATTTTAGAGATAAATAGTAAATATGGTCAGTTATTTCTATTTAATTCTTTAAATAAATGTTTTTATATAGATATCAATATGGCTAACTCTACAAAAAATAATGTCTTTATAAAACATTTGATACAACCCACAATAGATTAACGTTGGAGATATATTTCCACTATTTAACAGATATTTAGCTTGGATAATAATATTTGTTAAAATTGACAAAAACTAGTAAACAAAATACTAAATTATTGCCAAAATTTCTAAATACAAGAATATGTGAGAAATTATGAATTTAAAATTTTTCCTAGAAACATCATCACATGACCAATCCCTTAATGAAACAACTTTGGTGATATCACCTACCAACATCCAGTCTGTAGAATGATGCTTTGAAGTTAAGATGGACAGTGAGAGGTATATGATAAACCAGATACATGGTAGAAATAGTAAAGAAAGTTATAGATTTCTAGACTGATTCTTACTTTTAGAATCTGTAGGTGAACTAATTGGTAAGCATTTTTCTTGATCTGTTTCCTAATGATTTCCTATCTTTCTCAAAATTTCTGCCTAAAGCAGTCTGCTCAATTGTTTATCAAATGATGGCAGAGAAATTACAATAATTGAGAAATTATATATTAAAACATCATTATAAAGCACAGGCTAACTTATAATTCACGATCTTCCTGCCGCAGCCCTCCCACATGTTGGCATTAAAGGTGTGGGCCAACATGCCCAATACCAATTATATGCCTACTCACAATGGGGGACATTTTACTTGCTAAATCGAAATATCCAAGGACAATGGTAAAAGTAACTGGATAAATAAAATATATTTGTTTATATAAATACAAAGAGTACATGGAAGTATATACAACATGCCCCATAGGAGTTCCCACATTTATAGTAGTGTAAACTCACTGAGGGTAAGAGTGCCCAACTACCATATCTATAGTAAAATTCAACAATGCTTAAATATTATAGTGTGTGCTTTCCTTTAGGTATATTGAACCTTGTAAAGGCTAAGAGACTGCGCCGGGCCACAATAATACTCCTAAGCAGACTAAAGATAAAGCTTTATTCTTCAAAGGAAAGATAAAAAATACACAATAGAATCAAGTGTGTTTGCGTTTGGTTGTAGGAAAATTAGCCAACTGTGATTCACTGGGCTTTCATGTTTGGAATTGATCTGAAATAGTTGTTTAGTTTGGTGATTTCCTATCTCCCCTATAATTTCCCATTCTAAGATTAATGACAAAAATATGAGCCACATTGCTTCAGTTTCTCTCTTTTGCAAATGATAAGAGGATTATATAATTTCCATTGATGATTCCCGAGTAGTCACAAGATGAAATTTTCACAAACTGTCAGAAAACTCCCTACTTTTTCCCAAATAGGTGTTCTAACAAGATTTGCTCATTTTGGGAAGAGGGAAAATATGTTTACTTCCTTCTAATGAGAAAGTATGTATCTGCTCATTGTCTATCTATAATTTGCCTATTTGTTGATGGTCCATCTCTTTATATCTTATATGTAGATGAACATGGTCAATTTTTCTGGATTTTAAAGTAAATAACATGGTTTTTTTTATGTTATGAGGGTGTTTTAGTTTAAGGACTGCTACCACACACACAACATGATCTAATTTGCCCCCAAGCTAGTGTTACAGTAAACAGACTAAGCAGGCAGGCCCTCTACTTTGGTTTTGTATGTTTTGGTTCAGAGCAGTTTCTTTATTTGTGGAAGATTTGGCAGGTGCTTTTTTGCCAAGTACCACTCCAGTGATTTACCAGGAAGCCTCAAGGTTATGAAACATGTAACCTCTTTACTGGGACTGCTTGAACTGGACAGAAGAAACTATTTCCATTTATCCTTTCCTAATTGCAGTATTTTGAAGAAAATGGAGCAAGACAGTTCTGGGCAATTGGTTCATTAATCACGTGGCAGTGAATGCTGGAGCAAAGGCTAAAATCATATTATGTAAAGAATCCATCTATTCATTCATGA